CCTTGCTTAGCTTGTGAGTTTTAAGGACTGCAGCATAAGATGGAGTTTGGCTGCCAGCATTAGACTCCCTGGAAAGATAATCCTCTTTGTTAGACATAGATGAGACTCAGGTTGACCTTCCCCCCAGATTCCAGACTAGACCACCTCGAGGTGCAGAAAAGTTTAGCCTTTTTTTAAAGCAGACTGCTCCTACTCCTCTGAGCTCCATAATTTGAGCTTGAGGAGGAAGTCTTAAAATCAGGCTGGTTCCTAGGGTGACCAGACAGGAAGTGTGAAAAATCGAGACGCAGGTGGGGGAGATAATAGGTGCCTATATAAGACAAAGCCCCAAATATCAGGACTATCCCTATAAAATTGGGACACCTGGTCACCCTACTGGCTCCTGTGGTGACAGTTCTACAATCAGCCAGTAACCAGAGACCTCTGGGAACAAATGGATCTCAATGGATCTGCAGTGCAAAGGGGTTGGGAGCTGCTTTGGGATGGGGGTGGGGAGTCCTAACTTTCTGATGCTGTTCTGAACTGAACCCCACAGAGACAGGGAGAACCAGTGACAGGAAGAGAGTGACACAAAGAGAGAGAGACAGACATGGAGAGCGACATGCAGTGAGAATGAATGTGCATGGTGAACTGGGTGTTTGTGTTCATTCTCCTGAGCTGGGCAGAAAGAAGAACCCACTGGGGGATTGAGGGAGCCTGCTCCTCTGTAATATGTTGGCTTAGTGTACATGTAGGGCCCATTGTTTTGGGGTTTTATTTAATTTTTCCCAGGGATTTGTCAGTGTTTATTATTACAAAAAACAAACAAACAAACAAGGTGAAAATCAGTGGGGAAATGTATTAATAATTTTTCTGGGTAAATATTGGGGTTTATTTTGGTGGACGGAAGGACAGGGGAAAAAGTATTCAGTAGATTAATGTTACCCGAAATTGGGCCAGCTAGTAAGCTTAGGAAAGACTAATGACCCACCAAAGTTTGGCAGAAAGCAGCACTTTTATTATACTAATAGCTAAGCTCAAAAGAAGGGGCAGGAGGTCACACTCACACTTGCATACTCACGCTCCCAGGACAGACATGGCATTGGAGATGTCAGGATTCTTCAAGATAAGTGTCCCCCAGCACAGCGATGGACAGTGTGATAAAGGTAAGTATTCCCAAGGCACAATGGAATGCAACATGGCAAACCACTGGTCAGGCAGTCTGGGCAAAGAGCCTTCACGGGAGGTACAAGCTTGTGAGTGCACTGCTGAGCACATGGCCCCTTCCCCTTTTAAGGGCCAGTTCCTCATGGCTTGCGACTAGAGATGACTTGGCTGCATCTGGTTGGTCACACTCCACCTCGGGCAATGTCCATGCATTGGGTGTGTGATCGCTGCCTAATTAGAATCTCAGACACCTTGTCAAGCTGGGAGCTCCTCTGATCTTCCAGCTGTTCAAGCAGCCCATTCATCCACAAGCATTCCAGAAGAGAGGGGGAGGGGAAAGCCATTCACAGGTATTCAGAGAGGGGGGGAAAGTGTAACAGACCTTTTGAGCATACAGGTTATACAAAGCATACAGATCACTAAAAGAACAGGGGTACTTGTGGCACCTTAGAGACTAACAAATTTATTAGAGCATAAGCTTTCGTGGGCTACAGCCCACTTCTTCGGATGCATATAGAATGGAACATATATTGGGGAGATATATATACACACA